TTGCCGTACGTGGGCCTCTCACTGTTGTGGCCTCTCCCGTTGCGGAGCACAGGCTCCGGACGCGCAGGCTCAGCGGCCATGGCTCACGGGCCCAGCCGCTCTGCGGCATGCGGGATTTTCCCGGACCGGGGCAGGAACCCGTGTCCCCTGCATAGGCAGGCGGACTCTCAACCAGTGCGCCACCAGGGAAGCCCAATATGCATTCTTAAAATCACTTATGCCATTGAACATCTTTTCATATATTTATTGGATGTTTGTATTTCTTCCTTTATGAATTGCCTGTTATATACATGTCCTTAACCTAGCTTATTATTTCTTAATTTCCAAGTGTTCCTTATATATATGTTAACTAAGCTTTGATTAAGCTTTGATCTGGCATATTTGGTGCAAATATTTTTTCTATTAATTTGGATTTTGATTTTATAAATGACTTTAAAATATATATATACACTTTTTAAAAATTGTATTTGAAATTATCACTATTTTTATTTATGGCCTCTTCTTATAGGAGAAGGGGAGATACTGCTCAGAAAGGCCTTTCACACCCAGGGATTATAGAAGTACTTTGCCTAATTATCTAAATTTTCGTTAAGCTTTTCTCCTCTTTTTTATCTTTTTTTAAAACACATAAATCTTTGTAATATTTGAAATTCATTTCGTGTATTGTAGGCATCTAATTTTTTCCCATTTGCTAAATTATTAATCCCCCCCAAATATGAAATAGTCCATATTTCATTCACTAAGTTCTTACACAACTGCAGTTTCTGGACCTTCTGTTCTGTTGCACTAACGAAGCCATTGGTAACTGCCAGGATTATACTCCTGTAGTTTTTTGTAAAGATTTAATATCTAATTGTTTAAGGCCCCCTTAGTTACACATATCCATGATCTTTCTATATTTCCTTTCATTTATCCTCCTTTTAGAGCAATTCTGCATAGCTTTATTAAAAAGAATTTTGGTGTCTTCCCTGGTGGCGCAGTGGTTGAGAGTCTGCCTGCCGATGCAGGGGACACGGGTTCGTGCCCTGGTCCAGGAAGGTCCCACATGCCACATGCCGTGGAGCGGCTGGGCCCGTGAGCCATGGCCGCTGAGCCTGCGCGTCCGGAGCCTGTGCTCCGCAATGGGAGGGGCCGCAACAGTGAGAGGCCCGCGTACCGGAAAAAAAAAAAAAAAAAAAAAGAATTTTGTGCTGTGCCTCAGTTACCACCTCCTCTCCAATAAAAGGACTCCAAATAGGATTTTGGGTAGATGTGTAGTATATTTATAGACTAAACTGGGGAGCATTTACATTTTTGCAGTATTGAGTGTTTCCTTTCACTCATTCCATCAGCAGTATTTCCTGCAGTTACTATACACCAGACACTGTGCTAGATATTTTTTAGATTTTGTTGATATTGTTAATGATGTTTTAAAATAATTTTTAAAAGTTCTCCCTATTACTTGAATTTAGGAGTGCCCTCAATGTTTTCATTTTGTGATTTATCACCATCCTGAATTCTTTATCTGTTTCTAGTCATCTTTTAGGTGATCCTCTTAACTTTCCCAAACAGACTGTTATCAGTCTGCAAATAATGATAATTTCATTTCCTTCTTTCCAGCCCTTATGTATTTCTTTAACTTGTCTTATCATGTTGGTTAGAGCTTCTAGACCAAAGTTAAATAATATTGTAGTTAAGGCAGCACTGACTGATTTTTAGTTTTCTTTGTTTTTGTTTTGTTTTTAATTAATTTCTCCCATGCTGTATTAATCATATGTTTAGTCTGTTTTTAGTAATTAACATTGTTAGCTTTATTATTAGATTTTCTAACATCAAACTGTTCTTAAATTACTCAGATAAATTCTGCTGGGTGATGGTATATTGTCATTTTTAATGTAATTCTGAATTTGCTTTGCTAAAATTTTTTAAAGACTTTTACATTTATAATCCTTAAGGGAGATTGGCAAGTAGTTTCTTTTTTTCTTTTATCTCTGTCAGCGCTTGTTACCAGGGTTGTGTTAGCTTAAAATATGAATTAGGCTTTCCATCCTTTTCTGTGCTTTGGAAAGCTTCTGTTAAATTATCATAATGGGAAATTTCTTCTGATTATGAAAGTAATAGTTTTCTTATAAAATATTAAGAAATCCTACTACTTAGAGATAACTACCCTTGATGTTTTGATGTCTTTAGGTCCTGGGTTGTTTTTTCTCTATGTGGATGACACTTCTTTTTATGACTTGATTTCTTTTTCTTTTAATAAATTATGATGGATATCTTTCTATGTTAACAAATATAGATTTCAGTCATACTTTCTTTTTTTTTTTTTGGCCATGCTGCGCCGCATGTGGGATCTTAGTTCCCCGACCAAGGATTGAACCAGCGCCTTCAGCATTGAAGGCATGGAGTGTCAACCACTGGACCGCCGGGGAGGTCCCCAGTCATACTTTCTAATGGCTACATATTCTTTCATCTGTTGAATGCTTTTGATCTTTGATTTCGTAGATTCTTCTTAGACCTGGTGTGTGTGTGTGTGTGTGTGTGTGTGTGTGTGTTGTTCTTTTGTTCACTTGTTTGTTTGTTTTGCTCTTTACTTCTTGAATGAGGAGGGATCTGCTTTCCTTGGCGTTTCCCCATAAACGTCGTGGGTGTTTTTTCTGTGGTTCCCAGAGGTATTAGAATAGTTAAGGTGAGATTTTTCTTGGCTGCTGGTACCTTTGAGGGTTGCTTGATGTGTGTAGCCCTTGGCCAGCCTCTGCTATTGCGCTGTATTTTCCTTATGTGACTCTGCTAATCTAAGGAGAGAGCCCCTGCTTCCACTGCAGTTGTATAATTGCTTCTTTTAACAAGGTAGCAAACTTGTGAGAGTGCCTTTTTAAACATATCTCCAATTATATCCGTGGTTGACTATGTTTACTTTACATGGGCGATTCTATTTTTCATATTTTTAAATTCCTAAGAGGCTTCCTCCCCACCTCTCCACCATCCTTTAAGGCAGCACTTAGAGTCACAAACAAAACTTTACTCTGGGTTTGTAAATTGGAGAAAATTCACACCTCCTGGAAAAAGAGTCCTATGTGGTCAACACTCCTCTTGCATAAAAAGGACACCCTGCTATAAAACTTTTAATGGGTTGTAAGTATACCAGTGTGTTTAGGGAGGACTGGCCGGGATGGCAGTGGGACTTGACATCTTGTTCTTTGCAGCATGGTTGAGGGAACCGTGGGGCTTTTGCTGGTGAACAAAGACTGGGGACATGCAATTTCCTGTGTGGCTCCGAGGTAGACAAATAGGATCCGAGGGTAGATGCTCAAGGGACAGAATTCAGCTGATTGTGAGAGCAAAGTGACAGTTTCCAGTCAATGTCAGGGTTCAGGTATAGACCGGCTTACCAGCTGGTCAGGTCATAGGGCTGGGTATGAGCATTAGGTGGGTGGCTGGCCCAGGTGACTTAAGATTCCGTACAACCCTGAGGTTGTCGTTGCAGCCCTTCCTTGATTGAATCATAGTTTGTAAAGCAGCGTTTACATGATATTTTTAGGAGACCTCACACCTCTGGACTAGCATTCTCAGGCTGTGTTCTTTTCTTTTCAGCTTACCGTGACAATCAGAGCTTTGTTGCAGAAACTGAAGGAAAAGATCGCCCTTTTGAAGGACTTATTGCTAAGAGCTGTGTCAACACATCAGATGTATCCATGTAAACATTTCCACCTCTTGCTAGAGTGGGAGGACAGGCAGTCTTATTTTAAGCAAGGAAGGAATCTGGGCCACCCAGATTTTTCCACAGCTTGAGGAAGACCTGGTTTCCAAAATATTGCCTATAATCTCAATTTCTATTTTAAGCGTCTGTTACATGTTTTACAGTGAATATGCTGGCGAAGCAAGACACGCAGCAGGAATTAACTTAGTTGGGTGTAACCTTAATAGTGCAGGAAGCTCATGCTTTCTGTCAGTGCTGTATTTACACCGAGCCCCATGTTGCTACCTGTCTAGACTGCCTTGAAGGTGGTCCAGCAGGAGAACTTCCATGACACCCTTGAGTTGTGATTCTGCTTCTGTAGTTCGCAGAGTTTTGAACGATTCATTTTCTTTTCTGAGAGGCCAGTACCAGTAGAAACGATGCATTTTTTCCCCCCAATTATGTAGATTATTGAGATGTTACTTCTTTGCCTTATTGTTCTAGAGGTCCAGACAGTACCCCTGTTTTGGGAGTTTTGTGGGGTGGGAGACACTTGCCTGAAGCAAGTTATGTCATCACCTCAGCCTCCCACCAACAATGTCAAGAATTAAAATATTTCTTTCTTTTTTTTCCGGCCGCGCCATGCAGTGGCTTGTGGGATCTTAGTTCCCTAACCAGGGATCCGACCTGGGCCCCGGCAGTGAAAGTGCGGAGTCCTAACCATTGGACCGCCAGGGAACTCCCCAAAATATTTTCTTTCTTTCTTTCTTTCTTTCTTTTTTTAAGAAATTCATAATCTGATCAATTTAGGAAAATACACTTGACCTGTTACATAAACTAATCCTTTAAATCCGAGTTTAAAACTGACCTCAAACTGGTCCTCTCTTAACCTTTTTGTCTTTAGTTTGTACCAAACTTTGGTATCTCGGGAAATGGTTGTTATTGCCCAATCTTAAACATGGGAAAATGTAGGAATATAGCTTTTTAGGTAAAACAATAGAAGATGTTTTAAAAAATATTTTTCTCCAAGTATCACCACTGTATGTCACCAGGGAGGCTGGTTTAGATAGTTGCATGATTTCCAATGTGCACTTATTAAAACACTAAGGTTTTAAATATAAGTTTAATTTCAGTAAACAATTGGGCCCTTATTTTTAACACAGTTGGAATATTCTGATATGTTTAGTTTGTAACTTTACCCTCCATCTGGCATCATTTGTTACTGCACAGTCTATTATATAAGGAGTTTTTATTTTATCAAAATGCACAAGTCTTAATATATAGACCTCAAGTTGGCAGAGCTGTGTTCTCCACTTTCAGTACTAAGTACTTGGAATTCTGCACATGGGATCAAGGTGTGCAAACTCATTTTAATATTACCTAAATCACATGTATTAGAAACGTAGTTAAATATTGTTTCCCAGTGTAATATTAATAACTTTATTTGCTAATAGGTAACTGATTATTATTCATCTTATAATATTTATGTGCTAAACCTATAGGGCAAGAAAATATAAATTAATAACTTTTACTTTTTTCTATTAATAATTTCTGCTAGTTATTAATTATGGGGTGTACCAAGCACGCTACAGTAATAATTGACTTTTTCTAAATGCTTGCAGTCTGACCATATTTTGAAATCTCAGACTGGTTTTGTGGTGATCTCAGAATTTGCTGAATGAAACACCAGGCATTTGAAACACCAGAGTTATTAAATACTCTGAAAATATGAAATATATATGAAAATATTTAAGGACCATCATGTGAATAATTTAGAATTTCCCAGGAGAAATCAAAAACTCGTCTGGAATATAACAGCTTTCTTTAAAATCTAATTATTTTTTTCAAATAATTGGGTCTATTTCTACTGGAACTGCAACCAAAACTAGGGATGGAATTCAGATAATCCACCCCATGGGGGCGCTCATAAACCTCTGTATTTTCAGGGAGACCATTTCTTAGAATGGAAAGGAAGCAGCTGAACCTTCTTTACAAAAGAGGTATTGAGGCCAAGGCAAACTTGCACCTCAAGTCACTGATGAAGTTGGAAAGAAAGGACAGCATTCCAGCAGAGGAATTTTTTCACACCGAGGAGAAGAATGTTTAAGAGCTTAAGTAACTTGCCCAGACCCCACTGCTAAGAAATGGAAAGCTAGGATTCCAATGCAGGGCTGTCTGAACCCAAAGCCACTTGTTTGAAAGCTGAATTCTACTTTAGTGATAGAATACAGTCCACTGTCACATGGCCTGTCTTCAACTAGAGTTCCCTATTGCTTGGCATGTTGCTGTAATGCCAAGACAAATCTTGTTTATAATGCAAATCCTCAAGACCCTTCTTAATCATCAGAAAGATTAAACAGTCTTCACTGTGGTTTATTAGGTATACTTTATGATGTTGTAATTCTTAGAAAAATTTGTGTCCATAAATCGCCGGGAGAGTGACTTTTTAATCCTTTTTCTTGAGGCATAATTAATGTTGGGTGACTTTTTTAACGTGAATATTTGAAAACCACATTTCCTTACTGTGTTGGGTAGTTGAGTTTATGGTACCTTACTTAATAAATTTATGCCTTTCTGCATTCGTGAAGTTTCCCAGAGAACACTAGGAGTTGCCAGAAAGATAAGTCCTATGAAAATGCCTTCCAAACAGTTATTTCTGGGAGGTTAGGCCTAAGATGTTACTGCTCTTCGCTGAAAAAGTATTTTTCTCTGGCAAGAATAAATGTGAAATTACAATGAAAGTGGCGTGCTTTCGAATTGGTTAACTTGCAATTCATAATTGAAAGTCCTGCAGCCAGAGAGTTGAAAATTGTTGAAGCACATTAACCTCTGTTCACGGTGCTTCTTGGAGATGGGGATTATAATGGCCTCACCAGCTGAGAAAAGGTGGGTTTACAGGAGGGCGCATAGGAAATTTCAGGTAATGCTAAAATTATTCTTAGAATTAGCTTTAAATGAAGCTTGTCTTTTTGTTGGGTTTTTCAAAGGCAACACTTCTGGTACTTTAAAAAGAATTTTAAAAAATCACTTTACAGAGGGGTTCAGTATCAAAAGGTATTTTGGTCTCTTGGGAGAAGTCCTGTGGAAATAGTAATAATTATTATTTTTTGGTCGTGCCATACATCTTGTGGCATCTTAGTTTCCTGACCAGGGATTGAACCCAGGCCCCCGGCAGTGAAAGCACCGAGTCCTAACCACTGGACCACCAGGGAATTCCCTAGAAATAATTTTTTTAAATCCATAAATAACTCTGCTCCACTTTGTATTTTGGGGGGAAAAAAAAGATGCATAGACAGATAGGTAGATGGCAGGATAGATGCCCCAATCACCATGTAACAAACCTGAATAACATGTAGGTGTGGAGAGGCTCACTGGATAGATGTTAGGGATAGCCCCTCGGGGCTCCAGTGGAGGTGCAGTGGTTCTAAAACACTGCACCTGGCCATGACAGTTTTCGCTGGTGTCTGCTATTGTGAGAAAAATAAGGACAAGATAATTTTTATTTCAGTAGAAATTTTCTGATTTATAGTCTGTTTACATGGTTCTCCCTAGTTTTGGGTATTAACATCTGCTTGCTTTTTCGTCATGATAGTAAAAGTAGATGAGAGTTTTGTCTGTTGTGGGTTTTGGAATGTCCATAGATGGCAAAATGTATAATTGGTCTGTATAAATCCCCCCATCACCATCCCCGCAGTTTGTTTGGAAATAATTCTGCTCCATGAAATCCAAAAGTCTGGGCACCGTTGGAATACTGGGAACAACACTGGCTTTGGAGCCAGACAGAACTGAGGTGGAAGACCAGCTCCGTCACTTCCCCAAGGCCAGAGAGCAACGTAGCCTTTCTTGACCTTTGTTTCATTAATCTGTAGAGCAGGAATAATCACACTTGTTTTGCAGGTTGTTGTGAAAGTTGAAGAAAATATATTTAAAGCATCTTGCAGGACAAGCCACCCCCATAATTGTGGGTGTTAAATAAAAGATAGTTATTAACCCTTTGTGGGCAAGTTACTTCTTTGTGCCTGTTTTCTCATTTGTGAAATAGGGATAATCAAAGTACACATCGCTTATGGGATTGTTGGGAGGATTAAATTATATGCATAGAAGGTGTTTCACATAAAGTAAGCCCTCCTCGAGGATAAGCTGCTACTTACTATTTTATCATTGTTAAAATTACAGCCATCTTGGAGAATTTACAGGTAGTCCTTTTATGGAGTTTATAATCAAGTAAGAAGGGTATATCAAAGCACACAGATAGTGATAGTATTAAGATACCACTTGCAAAATATGATCAGTGCTTTGAGGAAGATAAGGACCTGGCCAGGTACATAATAGATACTCAGCAGTTTGTTAACTTAAAAAAAATAGTAAAATGAAAGGGATGAAGTGCTATGTGAGCCAGAAAAATCTTCTGGCCTCTGGGATCTTAAACTGTCTCTGTGCAGTCCTTGCGGCAGTGGGAAGTAATTATGCTTCTCCAGAGCAATTAATTTGTATGTAAGACTTGCCTAAATTCTTAAGCCTTCTACCAAATGAGGAGAAACTCCAGGAGCTAGAGTGGGGGTGGGGCATCCCCTGGGTCCAGCACCATCTTCAGCCCACTCCCTCGTAGGTTGGAAGTGCTTCCCGGGTTATAGCAGAGAAACTGGGCTGAGGCACGTTGGTCATGGGTATTGGTGATACGAAATCAGGTCCCAGTTTCATTTGCAGTGTTGCATTGCCATGAACTGGTTATAATTACATGTAACATCAGCCTAGCCGATGAAAAAGTACTGTGGTAGCTAGCTCTTCTGTTTCCTTATTTGTCTGTTCTCTGACCTTCCTTGGTTATTCACCGCGTAGGTGGAAGAGGAGGTCCCAGTTCTGGCCACTGACTGTGTGCCCTGTGTTCTACTTGTCCTTCCTTACCCTGTCCTCACTTCCCCCAACTACCATGAGACCACAGCCATGCAGTGTCACCACTGCCTAGACGATTCTTTGACCTCTCGTTAACAACAACTTCTGTATAGTAAGTGTGCTATGCAGAAGGGCTGTGCATCTATCTATTCTCTTCAACCTCCTCTGCCCTCCCCCCCCATCTCCTTATGCTCTGTTCTCTTAATAGGTTAAAATAAAAACAGAACAAAGAGGTAGAGTGAGTGTTCCTAACTGGACAGTTTTCCAGTTGTCCCAGATTTACAGGGAGTCTCTGGGAATATTCTGAATTAATATTACCAGTATTGTTATTAACAGGACGCTAAGAGGTGGCAAAGTTAAGTGAGCAGTACTGGGGGCCTCAGGGTGGAGGAGCCCCTGGAACGTTTGGTGGTCAAGCCGCACACAAGGTGGTAGGAAAGCCCTGACTTAGACTGGAAAGAGCTGGGCTCTAGCCCACTGTTGTCATTACCAGCTGCACAGGGCGCTGGTTTCCTGGTCAGAAGAACAAGAGACTCGGCTATGCCTCTCCTAGCATCAGCTGTGATTCTGTTCTTCACTTACTAATCTTCAAAACATAATCACCAAGTTTTATTGCTCCTAAAATTGATGTTCTTTGTTAATTTATTCTCAACTAGTTTATGGCTAACATCTGCTAAATTTAAAACTTGCCTTTATTGTTTTTATTGAAAAAGTACTTTCTACCTGTATAGTTCTTTTTTTTTTTTTCTTTTGCGGTACGCGAGCCTCTCACTGTTGTGGCCTCTCCCGTTGCGGAGCACAGGCTCCGGACGCGCAGGCTCAGCGGCCATGGCTCACGGGCCCAGCCTCTCCGCGGCATGTGGGATCCTCCCAGACTGGGGCACAAACCCGTGTCCCCTGCATCGGCAGGCGGACTCTCAACCACTGCGCCACCAGGGAAGCCCTATAGTTCTTATGTTTAACCAATGATTCTTCTCTCTCTTCCCCATCCCCATGCTATTCCAGCTCATTCTTTCATAGTTAATGTGTTAGTGGTTGGTACCTGCCATCACAGACTTTTCTAGGCATGAACAAATATATATACATGTAAATATAAAATGCTATTGACTACAGAGGGATCATATTATACATTTGGTTCTGAAATTTTTTGTTAATTAGCATTTGATAGAGTCAGACCGTCCAAAACAATATTGGATGGGAAGTAAGTCTCCCTTACACCCTGAATCCCCAGTTCGCTTTCCTTAGAGGCAACTCTTTTTGTATCCTTCCATAAATTTTAAGTGTATATACAAACATATATGTTTCTCTGATTTTTTTTTAATGTATGCAGTGGGAGCATACTATTCACTGTTTAGCTCTTTGCTGCTTCTTTTTGTTTAACACTATTTTGGAGATTATTCCATACCAAATAACTTATGTAGCACTTAGTAAGTGCTCAGAAATGTTAATTATCATTGTCATCGATACATAAAGAGCATTCCTCTTCTCTCTCTTTTTTGGGGGGCTGCAAAACATACCATTGTAGAGGTGTGCTAGTTCCTTGTTGATGGACCTTAGAATGTTTCCAATATTTGGCTATTATAAATAATGCTGCAGTGAACATCTTTGTTCCTACATCTTTGTATAGACATCTTTGTATAGACATGTACAGACATATATCTGTAGGAGAAATTCCTGTTGAAAGAATGTGCCTTTTAAATTTCGTTATGTATATAGAAGGCAATGTGGCAATTGGTTGAACCCATTTCCATTCCCACCAAGGATGTCTGAGAGTGCTTGGTTCCTTGCCCCTTTCCAGAACCGCCCTGTCGTAGTTTCTTACCTGATGGGTGAAAGTGATAGCGTGGTTCAGTTTGCATTTCTTTTACTAATGTGAAACTGCATTTTTTTTCATTTGATTAGCATTATTGTTTCTTTTTTCTATGCCCTGTTATATCCTTTGCTGTTTTAAAATTTGCCACTATTAATTTGTCACTTGTAATTTTACTTTGCAGATATTTAAAATTTTTATAGAGCCAGATTTAGTGTTTCCTTCATGGCCTCTGGGTTTTCATTCTTGACTAGAAAGATCTTTCTTACTCTGAGAGTATTAGAAAGTTCTCCAAAGTCGTCTTCTAACGATATGTAATTTTACTTTTTATGTTTAAACCCCTGAGCCAGTCAGATCTGTGCTTAATTGTAATATTGGATTATCGTTCAGCTTATGCTCGCTTGGATGGTTGGATAACTAAAATCCCAACAAAACCACAGATTGCCAGAGTAGGTTGAGTGTAGAACAGAAGACAAGGCTAATCAGCATTGTGATATAGTTCATAGTTTTCCATGATTAAAATTCAGTTTTGTCCTGTATAATTCATGACATAGGTTCTGTCTCTCCCCACCCCTAGGAGCGATTTTTTAGATAGAAGAGGCTTCTGCTTTATTGACAATTTGCCACTGATTTGAAACACATTGATATTTGTTCTTGGTGTTGCGTTGATCAGAAGTCTAATATTTGGCCCTCTTATTAGTACAGAGGAAGGACTTAAGCTCACTGTTGCTTAGTTACGGTTGCTACTTCACGGTTTCCAAGATGGGTTCTTGATGACTGTAGTCAAGCCAGAAACGGAAGAG